ACCGTGAAATGTACAAATGGTCAGTAGATTGTAGCATACCCAAGAAGTAAATAAGATATATTTATAACTACCTTTCTGGGCCCTGGCGACCCCTTTCTCGAATTGCGTTTGGAAATTAGCATGACGGGCCGGGTCAATTTACAATCCCTCGTGCCAATCTCCCCAAACGCCCGTTGACATGCAGTGAAGGAACGTTAAATGGAAGTCAGCTGAAGCAGGCAAGCGCATGTTGATTAGCTGCCTCACTACTGTCAAAACGCCCATTTAGGCATTCATGCATGAGCGGCATTTTAACACGGTGTCTGTTCGTGGGCGGAGACAAAAACGCACGGCATTTAAAACGGGCTTTGGTATCACGGCACGGCCAAACTTTCAGCAGTTAACTGCCCATCAAACAGTCTGAACACATTCCTTCGTCCAAGCCATTCAGTAAGAAGTAAGATTCGCGTGTTATCGTGATTGAGCTTCTATATGCTATGTCATTTAAGCCGGAAAACATCACTTTTTAGCGCACATCAGAACCCACGTAAGCTATTCGAAATTCAAAGGTCCCCACTGCTACCCATTTCAGGCCCACTCCCTGATCTGGGAGTTCCTTTTGATCATGCCGGATTCAGTAGTTTTTTTCGATAATTTTCATCGTGCGGGAGAACATTGAAGCCATCCCACGGGATGTTGTGCGGTGTGTTTGCTGCGCGTCCGATGACGGCGGATTTGTTTACATGTACCTTTCGTAGGAGTCGTCCATGATGCGGATGTGAAGACGGTCCGATGTCTGTTCGTTCTTGTGGCGTTGGGACAGCCCGTCTCGCCAACATAACCAGTGTTACACTTACAAGTGGTGTCATGGACTCCCCTTCAGTTTGACTTTGCGATGCCAAATGTTTCGGCTGCACGCGCAGCGTGTTCCGCTAAGTAGCGCCAGGCGAGGAACCTGCGTCGAGCGCGGAGAGGTGGGAGAAGCAGCGTCAAGCAGCGTTGGCCACTCGCCCAGCGCTGCTTCGCGGAGCAGGCAGGCGTGACGAGAAGGATGCGGCACCAAAAGTCAAACTAAGGCTGATAGTCCGCAGCATGAGTTGCGAATGTAGCGCCGCTGACCTTGGCGAAACGGGCTGTCCAGTCGCCACGGGAACAGGATCACAAGAGATCGGCCATGTCCGAACATGCAGAAACTTCCAGCACAACATGCAGTGGGACGACTTGGAATTTAACGACGCAAGGCCATTACTGGACCGGAAAAGTGGCAGTTCAACGTTACTAAAAGAAGAAAACGCACCTCAATAGAGACTGGGGCAGGACTTTGCGGGGTTTGGATCTTTTCTGGTTAAGTTCGGTATATGTGACTGTTGAAATGCAAAACAATTTTTGTTGAGCGTGATAAAGTAAGGCAATTTTGCCTGAATGATGTTTACATCTTATGTTGCATTGTGTTACCTTCGTGTTATGTCACATTGCGTGACCCTTTGAATCCTCAAATAATTGTCATTGCAGGATAAGACCTTCCAAATGACTGAGCTGCTGATTCGCCTTAAAGCCAACTTCAAAGCTGCACGAAAACATAGCAACGTACGAAGAAAACTCGTGAAAAGAAAAATGTCATGTAACTTAACGACTTGTACTGTATTAAGCACCTTTCTTAATGCTTAACTCAAACACTCCTTAGTATACACAATCCTTTATGACGGTGCCTTCTGTATTGTGTGGACAAGATCTCATCTCCAATTTACGAACAGCATTTTCCACGCAGTGTTAAATTTCCTGGAATGAGCTAGGATCCTTCACATTAGAGTCACGTACACAAATATCCACCCGGGTTCACAGTGAAACCCAGAAGTGGTCAACTAGTTGAATCCAGTTATAACCGGTTACAACCACCGACATGCCTCTGCTAAGCAAGAATGCGCCATGTATACAAGGGCTCTAAGACGTCTTGACTTGTGTATGATCACATTAGGAACGTTAGAGCGGCGTCTGGTCCCATGACGTAGTAAGCGTACTCGCCCGGCGGACCGTCGCTCTTGCCGTCTGACTGGTGTGTTGGGGCGGCGCGGAACGCGCGTGTGACGGGTGGCGCGCGGCCGGCCGCAGGACGCGCAGCATGAGCCTGCCTCGCGCCGGCTCCTGTCGCCTGCCCCCCTGTTGTGCGGCCAAATCACCATCACCCACGTGGGCCCCGGTGAGTGCGGCGCGCCCTCCCGGCGGCCGGCCCGCCCCCCGGGCCGCGCCCCCGAGCGGGCCGCTGCCCAGCTCTTCCTCTTCTCTGGCTCGAGTGTCGTGCGTAGGAGGCGGCGCACGCGTGGCGCGCGACCCCGGCCGAGGGGCGGGTGTGACCCGCCGAGGAGGCTGGCGTGCCCCCGACCGAGGTCGCCATCCCACGTCTGGTGCGGATTGCGTGAGTGCACTGGACGATGCCGCTGCTTTCGATGTGCACTCGTGGCCGGAGTATGGAATCCAAACCCAGTAGCTGTAATGACTGGCTAGTGTGTGCTATAGAGCCGTGGCCAGTTGGTCGGACCGAAAAGAGGCGATTTTAAAGGCGGCTTTCACCAAACGCAAAGTTTGTTCTTAGAATTCAATGGATTTCGTGACCAGAACGGAATCGGTAGGTTTCGAAAACATCATTATGAAATTCAGCTCGACGGCCCCATCCTAGCGGCCAGCATGTTTGCTCACTGATTCATGCTATGCTATAACTGTATTAGCTAATACGTTTTGTCCATGCTTTCCGTGTTTTTTCTTTGTGCATGACTATTAATTTTGTACTGAGCTTTGCTTTTTGACGCACTTTCATATTTCTCCATTAATCGCCGCCTTACTGCCTGCTCATAGCCAACTGTAATCCACGCTGTCGAATTTACCGACTAATTCTGACACGTCACAAGGTACACGGCCCCGCTGACGCATTTTCTCACACTCCCTTTCTCCTTTTTTTCCCCCCCTTCTCCCCTTCTCCCCGTTTTCTCGCTCCCTTTCCCCGTTTTCTCTCTCCTCCTCTGTTTCTCGCTCCTCTCCTCCTCTTCTTTCTCTCTCTTCTCCTCGGGCTTTTCCCCTTCCTGTCTCCGGACAACTTACGCCCATGCTCTCCAACACTCAGACATCCATCAGCCAATCCGGCCAGCTGGTGCCTGAGATCCTGTGACGTCGCTTAGCATCTCCGCAGCCCTGCGCGCGGGCTCCCTGCGACCGCAGCGTGTCCCGGACCGCTGCCGCGCCGCGCTGCCCAGCCTGCCCGGGGCCGTCGCTCCCCGCGTACTAACGACCGATGCGGCGCGGTCCGGCAGCCTGCCGTCGGGCGCCGCCCCGCGCCACCTGCTCGACGACTCGGTGCTGAGCGCCGGCGACGCCATGTGCGCCTCGCTCTACCTGCCGGACGGCGAGGGGGGCCGGTCGGCCGACGGCGACCACGTCTCGGCCAGCCTGCCCATGCTGTGAGTGGCGGCGGGTCAGGCGGCGGCTGGCGCCGGCCCGTCGGCCCGTGGCAGCGGCCGGACGCGGCCGCCCGCTGCATGCCTCTGTCACGAGTCCGCGGAGCCGTCGGCGTGCCCCAACACCCCGAGCGACACCATCGAGTCCGTGGACCTCCGGTGTGTCGTCGGATAGCTGTGCCGTGTTCGCAGGCTGCCTATGCCGTGTTCGTGCGTCGTTGGATGGTCTGTGACAGATCTGTCTGTAGGCAGGTTCAGCAACATGTGACAGATCCGTGTGTGACAGGTCGGCTGTCATGTACGCCCGTCGCATGTATGTAAAATGTGTATGGTGTGGCTGCATTGCTAACACGCTTACCTTAACGACGCCGGTGGCGGTTTCTGGTCTTGCCGCATTTACGGACCACCCGTTCTAGACATGGCTGGGACCAGCATGCGTCGTTGTTGGTGGGGTTCGATGACCCGCCTTCACCGATCAGGGTGAGCGGCGACGGCGGCGAGCTGTTGATGGAGGGTGGTGACCTGGTCTGACCCCTACCCCCTGCCATCCGGGCCGGAGAGGACGATAAGCTGAAGATGGAGCCTGGCGACCCTTTCTCTCCTCAGGGGCGGCGCGAGTGATAGGCTGGGGATGCGGCCCTAATTGCTAGACTTGCACTTGATTCCATTTGAGCGGAATCGATTCCGAACCCGAATAAAAGCGAATAGAGCCTAATGTTATTCTGGTTCAGAGACGGTTGTTCAGGAGGAATTTGGTATATATATATATATATATATATATATATATATATCCTCGACCGTCGTTCTCACATTCAGGGCGAGTGTGACGAGCTGGTGATGGAAGCTGATGGCATACTCTCTCGTGCGCAGGGACGGCGAGTGTGACGAGCTGGTGATGGAGGCTGGCGCCGTTTGCACGCTGCAGGGCTGCCTGCGCCGCAAGACGCTGCTCAAGTCGGGCCGCCGCCCGCCCGTGGCCACCTGGCAACGCTACTGGGTCCAGCTGTGGGCCGACAGTCTCGTCTACTTCAGCTGCAAAAAAATCAAGTGGTACGTGCCCTGGACGCCGTCTTTTACGGCTGGCATTGTGGGCGCTGCAGGTGCAGGCGGCGGGGATGGATCGTCGCCCCCGATTGCAATTTTGAAATGTGCCATGGTCCTTGCTCACGTTGAGTGTATACGATGAATCTTCAGGAGACGTTGCGTGTTTAGATATTAAGGGTGTCGGACTGGCGTCGGTACGCGGGAAAACTAGGTTCTGATCCAAAGACTGCTAAGTGATGTACATTGTTGAAACTCGTCTGCAAGGCCAGATCATTGAATCATAGAATGGTGTTCGCTTCACACAGCGCTACTAGCAGACTAAATGGTTAATAAAGATTGGTTCCATACATTGTTGAAACTCGTCTGCAAGGCGAGAGCATTAAATCATAGAATGGCGTTTGCTTCACACAGCGCTACTAGCGCACTAAATGGTTAATTAACATTGGTTCCGTATGCCGTCGTCAATCCCAAACCGCTACCTGACAACCACAAGTCATCGGCAGCAGCCCTCTCCCCTCACGTAACACGCCCTTCCTCGCAGCACGGAGCGGAGCGACTTCAAATCAGAGCCGAGCAAGATGCACACGATCCGCCACTGGTCCGTGCACGTGGACGACGTGTCGTGGCTGAAGGACACCTTCATCCTGCAGAACCCCGCCTCAGGTGAGTAACTGATACGTCACGAACTGCTCGGCCGCTGTGTGGTGCGCACTATCGTACTACCGGACGCGGACGAGATCCACATTGTAGCGACTTGCACGACGCGCGCAGTGCAGTGCTGCCGCCTGTCGGGGCCCACCGTAACCCGCGCGTTAACTGTCTCGTCCGGCAGGTGACATGTACAAATTCCGCGCGTCTAGTCAGGGCAAGGCCGAGGAGTGGGTGAAGCAGCTGCACGACGCGGCCATCGGACTGCGCGCGCAGCCCCTGCCGGCCAACCTCATCAGCTTCGAATGACACCGGGCGAGGGGTGCCCCTGCGATCGGCGGTGCCGAAGAGGCGAGGGGTATCCCCGCGGCCGGTGTTGCCGAACGGGCGAGGGGTACCCCCGAGGCTGGCGGTGCCGAAGAGGCGAGGGTTGCCCCCGAGGCCGGTGGTGCCGAATTAGTGAGGGGTGCCCCCGAGGCTGGCGGTACCGAAGGAGCGAGGGGTGGCCCCGAAGCCGGCGGTGCCGAAGGAGCGAGGGGTGGCCCCGAGGCTGGCGGTGCCGAAGGAGCGAGGGGTGGCCCCGAGGCTGGTGGTGCCGAACGGGCGAGGGGTGTCCCCGAAGCCGGCGGTACCGAAGGGACGAGAGGCCCCCGAAGCCAGCGGTGCCGAAGGGTTCACAGCGGCGCCCGGGCCGTGGGCGGCGCCCCAGCGTGCCAGCGGCCTGGAGAGCGGCGCCTCTCTGGGGACGAAGGCGCCCCACGCCGGCCTGACGGACAGCGCAGCGCTCCGGGCGGCCAGCGGATAAGAGCCTGAGGTCTCCCGCCAGACGTGCAGGAGCGCTGGACCGACGACATGGAGGACAGGCCTGGGTGATAGGTGCTCCCCGGAGGTGCTCGGCGCCCGGGACGCCCCGTGGAGGTGTGTAAGCATCCCATCCCGTCCTTGCGAATGTTCGGGTGTCCCGTACTGTCCCGGGACTTGGAGGCGTCCTGGGTCATCACCATCGGGTGTTGGGCGCCGTGGACCTGCCGCGGGGAGAGAAGCACTCGCAGCGGAGCTGAAAACGTGACCGGGCCCCCGCAGCTGCACGGGCGCGCGGGGAATACCGACGAAGCCAGGAGTACAGCGGGGCCCACGAGCCTAACGGGGTACGCTATTCTAGTCCATGGCAGCAATGCTCAAAGGAGCACAAGTCTGAGGTGCCGTGAATGCGGGACTGGATGCAGTCTATGTGCTTGCGTGGACGGGTGTGTATGTGTGCGGAGCGAGCGGCCTGGCCGGGCCGCCCTTCTGCAGTCCTTGCCTATTGCCAAGACGATGCCGTGCCGCGCCCCGCGCCCCCGAGATTGTGCGCAATAATCTTCCCCGCGCTGCGCTCCGCCCGCTTGCCGAGTGCCGCCCATGACGGTGGCGCGTGCTAACGCGCCTGTTGTCCCCCCCCCCCCCACCGCTCCTTCCTTTGGCGGATAGCGGTATCTGTCGGCGCTGTCCGGATCCGTGGATGCGCCCGCCGACGGCCCACCCTGATGGAGTGCCGGTCACGTCACGTGAGGATGCCGTGTGCCCCCTCCCCATGCCCCGCGTTCGTGGTACACCCACTACCAGTTTACACGTGTTCGTACGGTCTGCCGCCTAACGATATTTGTATGATCTCATTTTACCATTGCGAATCGTCTTGCCGATTGTTTGCTGTATATTCGACGTGCCTTCGTGCCGCCGCCTCGTCTGCCCTAGCTGTAGAACCTGGCTGGCTTCATGGAGGCGGCGACGTACGCGCGTGATCACGGACGTTGCGGGCGGTGTGTGGTGCGTGTCCGGGGAGGGGCGGTGGGCTCGCCGCTGTTAACATGCCCACCTACTAAACCATGAACGACCGTATTCTCGTTTTTACTGGGAATACACATGCTGTCTGCCAGTGCCTGGCTTGGCCGGGGCACGGCCGCGCTCTGAGCGGACGCGGGGCTCCGGCGGTCTGACGGGGTCTCGGCATGCCGCCCGAGGATAGTCCCTTCTTTCCCTGAAGCTCCTGAAGGACTGAACGTCAGCTGGGCCGCACCACCATAGGTCGAGAGGTGTATTGTCCACATGGAAGGTGTGAAGTGTACCGGGTGTATTGTCCACATAGAAATCGGAACATGGCGGACATCACGGTCGTGACCGCCCCGAGGTCACAGCGACGCCCCCCCGAGGCGATCAGCTGCGGAGCGGAGGGGCTACGGCACACGTGCAGTGGGGGCCTCTGCACCCCACTGCACGCGTCATCACGCAAGGCACGCCGTCGGAGGCTGCGGCCCCTGTCCTGGACCCGCTACAGAAGCAAGCGCACCTGAGCATGGCGTTCACGCAAGCGCCAAACAGGGGGCAACGAAGGCTGGAGGACAAAACGCGGAGGAAACGCGGGGCCAGCAGGACGGCGGCTCGTGGCTGAACTCGCTAGCGCCTGTGCCCGCACAAATAGTGGAACGTGGGAGGGATGGTGTTAGAGTAGGTCCACCACGGCCACGAACTGGTCGAACTCTATGGGCGTAAACCCTACCAGTTTCAACACGCACGCATAGCGTGGATATATCAAAGCCAGGCCACACATTTAAAGAATGCATCAGAGCAACCGGGCAGATAGGTTAACACACGCGTACTGACGCGCCCTGACGTGCGCCTCCTGACTACGGCCAATCCGTGTCCTCTACTTTATCATAACGGCACAACATCAAATGATACACAAAGGTGTGCAGCAAAAGCGCAAGCACCAATACAGAAAACCGCGCCGACCAAGAGGTCCAAAGGGCGATCAAACACCACCGGCTCCAACATCACCGAAGCCTTGATTTCCTATTTTACAACCCCTCAGAGCCTTCCTGATCACCGATAAACCCGAGCTCGGTTACTATTCTGGCACGTCATGATCCGACATCACACACAGGCCAAGACATTCGAGCGTATTGCACGCGGGACGCGTCACGCCGCAGGGTGATATGCGAACCGGACACGCTTAACATGGTGCGACTGCACCCGCCACTGGGCCTGAACATCCGAAATCGCACACGCCACTTAGAAGAGACGAGAGCATCAGAATTACACACTACGATCGCAAGCTGGACGACTAGCGAGTCCAGCACACCACGGTAGCTCGGATCGCACTAGGCATGAAGTCACGCTGACTTGTTCGTTGACTGCGACCCCTTCCACTACAGCGGCTCTCCACCAGAGCGCGGAGGACCTGTGCTGTCCCATAGACTCGCTGTGAACGCCGCCCGATCATGCAGCCTTTCGTGCCCGGATGTGGCGAACAGTGCTGATACGTTCAAGAAAACCAATAGGAAAGGGCATCACGTCCCTGAATAATGTTCACTGGACGTCGCCGACCCACTTAGGCGCGTTGATCGTCACCGACGAGGAGGGGCGTAAAGCGCCTGAACGGCGTTCACCAGCCGCTGCCGCCCACATCAGCCGGTACGGCGGCCGTCGCACGCACGCCACAGTCAACCGCGCGGCCGGGGGCCGGCGCCGGGCTGGCGGCAGTGCGTCACGCCTCGGCGTGGTGATGGTCGTCCGCATCCTGAACAGACACGATAGCGGGCTAATGCCAGACTCTGCCGCCATCCCACGCGCCGACCAGAGCGCGTCACCGGCAGCCCTCCCAGTGATGGTGGCGGGTGTTGGGACTGAAGCAGCCATAGTGACCTCCCCCGTCCCCCCGTCCAACCGACTGTCTACACCTCACTGGCGGCTTCCCGGCGGTGCTGGCGAGTATTAAGGACTGATGTAGCGTACCTCCCTCCCCCCTCTACCCACCCGGCTATCTACAACTAACGCCGTAGAAAAGGCTAGCTAGCGCTCTCCGATGGCAAACCCACGATACCGACACTTCGTTGCAGGCCGAGTGGCAGGGGGCTGGTGGGGCACTGGAAACAGGGCTGCATGCGCTTGATCACCCCCAGCGATCACATCCAGATAGCTTTGAGACACGTCTCTATCTAAGCAGGTTGACCCCGAGAAGGAGTTCCACAAAATAAGTCGGGCTGAGCAAGGAAACAGCTGAGCCTGCCTCCAAAATGCGCCAAACACGGGGTTCCTCCCCGAACGAGGCCAACTTTCTTTTCAAGGTTGGTGGGGAAGGCGGTCAAGGCGCCTCCATCCACCCTAAATTAATATGAAAACGACACCCCCAGTTTGTGGAATGTAATGTCCGAGGACGAAGCAATATGCGCAAACCACAGTAGCAGGCGTGAATTTGCTGGCACCAGACTCAACGAATAACTGTTGTGCACTAAAAGCACACATACTGGATTACAGGTGTGTGGGATGCTGGCATACCAATCGTGCATGACAGGCCAGCATGCAGTTATTTTACATACTGTAAAGGCAAATATAATGACAGCAACAGATAATCCACATACATCAAATACATAAAAAGGCTAGTTACGCGAGTCACACTGGCCGTAGCAGGCATCAAAGCACGAGCATAAAATATGCGTACACATATATACCCCTGCTACCGTTAAACTGGCCGTTGACGCAGGTATCGTGGTGCCTGTAGCGCTGTGACTAGTGCAACAGCCAGACAACAACCAAACACAAATGTATGACAGAACCAGAACGCCTGCAAATGAGTAATTAACACAGGACCAATGGCGTAAACACTAAACATTGTATCCTACGGGATTAGCATTCTGTTCCAGTCACGGTCCAATAGCACGGATCTCCGACCGACGTGGGTACAAGACACATTGTCGAGCCCAGACAGCTGACAACCTGCGTGAAGCCCCGGGATCGCGCAAGGAATTACTTGCCTCCAGACTCATGAGGTCAGACGCATATTGCACATCGAGCATGATAACCTTAACCCCGTTGGCCGACCCACGGTTCTAGCGAGCGAGGCGCGACTCCAATGTACAGTGTGAAAATTGATCCACGGGCGAAACCGCTGCGTTTGCCGTACGCTATAAACGTGCTATATCACATCTCAACAAATGCTGGATACCGCGAGAGAATTCTCGCGTGTAAAGTAATACACATGAGGCAACAGCCTTACTACACCTGCCCTTTATCGTCTCTCGTTCTTGTCGTTTTCAATCAACGCTGACCTTTTTGCACCCCCAATGTGCGCTTAATCCCAGTCCTGCGTCATTTCATCAGCTTCGCTCAAAGTATCAAAATATATAACGCACTTGAATAGTTCAGTCAATGCTCCCAATGCATTTGTTCCTGGAAAAGCATAGTTGCCCCAAGCGTGACAAATGATATATTGCACCAAATGGCTATCATAAACAGCAGACGTAGCGATTCCGCACGTGGATCCGTCCTCGTGGTCTGAAAATGCCGGTTCGCTGGCTCCCGCTCCCCCCCCCCCCCCCACAATCCTTTCGAATAAGCCTATCCTTCGAATGGAGAGAACGATACCGACTGTGCTACGAATGGGCCTAAATCAAACCCGACACCCGGCTCATGTCTCTGGCGCCCCAGACGGGTCTCTCAAGCCGCCTCCCCGCTCGCTCTCGACCTCTAGCGGAGGCGCCGCGCGTTCGAGCCGCGCGCCGGCGGAGGCGCCTGGCCAGCCCTGCGCCGCCGTCGGCCAGGCCCGGCGGCGTCAGAAGGCGGTGGTGATGACCAGCTTCTGCAGCACCTGCTGCCGGCACATCGGGCACTGGTGCAGCGGTTCGCTGCACTGGCGACACACGCACAGATGACCGCAGTTGAGGAATATCACCTCGGTCTGAAACAGAGACGCCGGCTCAGTGACACAGGTGGCCGCCGACGGCTGCAGTTGAAAACGTTCCAGGTCAATCGTCACCATTCTGACACCTAGAAGGGTCGACTAAATATTTACCGTTAGCTTCAAGCCAACCCCACCGAAGCCTGCTACCATTTTCCGTCCTATGGTTCAATCGCACGCCTCAGTTGCGCTGTACGCACGCACTGCGGTTGTCCATACATCATGCTAGTGCGAGCTCGCACTGCGTGAAACCGATGGGTGATTCAGACTCCGCGCTCGCGCCTGCTCACGCATCCAGCAGTCTGACCCGCCCGCTACGGAGCAAGTCTGACACACATCCGGAGCACGTCTGGCAAATGTCCGGAGCACGTCTGTAACACATCCGGAGCACGTCTGACACACATCCGGAGCACGTCTGGCACACATCCAGAGCATGTCTAACACACGTCCGGAGCACATCTGACACATGTCCGAAGCATGTCTGACATACAACCGGAGCACGTCTGACACGCATCCGGAGCACGTCTGACACACGTCGACGTCGGCGAGCACGCCAGCGTCGCCGCGCTCTCGCTGGCAGACGAGCACTGCCACCGTCGGCACAGGTGTGCTGGTCAGCCGGTGCGGCCGGAGATCCTGCTGGTGCGCCGCGCTCACCTTGTGGTCCATGCAGACCACACACTCGAGCTCCGTGTGGGCGGTGCGGTACTGACACGTCCGGTCGGTAGCGGCCGCCGCACCCTGCGGGAACGGCGACGCTCAGCACGGTCATAGGTCACATGGCACGCGCCTACCGGCCGTCACGCACTGCGGATGGCCCCAGCGACCACGTCTCAACACAGGACCGAGCCGACCCTGGAAAGCGCGCACTTCTCAGAACTGAGAGTGGCAGACCACACTAGGGATTCTTGATATGCTCGCCACGCGCCGGCCGCCGCGTCCGGGAGTGTTCAGCGGCGCGCAGCAGCCGGCGGCGGCCATGCGCGCGGGACGCACCCCTGCGTCGGTGGACGGGGCCTCCCCGGCCGCAACGGCGGACGCCCCGTCGCAGGTCGGGGCCGACGGCGGCGTCTCGGCCGGCGGCGCGGACGGCGCGCGAGGCTTCAGCTCGTCTTCGTCCCTGGCCAGCGCCGTCTGGCGCAGGATGGCTGCTCGCGTCGACAGGTCACTGACTCCCAGCTGCAACAGCGGCCGCGCCGTGCGGCACACTTCAGTGGACAGCGGCCGGCTCAACCCCACGTCAGCCAGCAGCAGGACATCCGGCTGCGTGAGTTACTATAGCAGGAAGGACACACAAGCGAATGTCTTCCGTTTGTTTCTTTCCATGCATCATCAGACTTAATATTGAGTATTTCTCCGTTGCTGGACTGTACTTCACCCTCTTCCCAACGGCTCAACATCTCTACAACACCCGCTCCCGTGGCCGCGCGGCCTCTGACAGGGCAGTCTATGCAGCGTCAGCGGACGAGCCCGCCCAGCCGGTCCCCAGCAGCCAAACGCTGCAGCCGAACAGCACCTCGATCAGTTCAGCGTCGTCCATATACAGCAGCATCTTGTACTGGACACCGCTGGTGGCGAACATGGTGAGGTAGTCCTCGGCGCCGGCGCTCTGCAGCAGCTCCTTCACCTTATCATCCAGCGTCTCCTCCAGCTGCCTGCAAGAGCACAACAGGCTTGTGGCTCTTCGTACGGAGCCAGAGTCCAAGGTCCCGCACGCTTTTTTCTTTGAGGGTGGGAGCGAAAGTTCCCGCAAAATGGTATAGTTTGAAAACGTAAAACAAAAATGCGGGCTTAAATCGATGATAACATAAGAATCGTGTTCACCAGCCTTTTAGCACAGCCACGAGTTAGTTCGGCCAAGCCGATTCAAAGTAGATCCAAACAAGATTCAGGACTTGAATCAATTTTGAGCCTTGTACCGTTTTTATAGTCCCGCGGTTTTTCGGTAAGATCTTTCCACAACGCCTCTTAACGATCCGTCAGAACCGAGCCAAACGAGTACAGACCCATGTTGTTTTGGGTGTTAGCCTGTCCTAAAAGTCGTCCTCACTCAAAAAGGCCAGGTCGCGCTCGCCGTCTGATCTTCACAACCCGCAACATGCCTCCCACGGCATGGGACGAGCGAAATGTTACCATATAACGGTGATCGGTCGAGTGTTACGGCCTTGTAGGCGACACCAAAACCTAAGAAAATGAAGCTGCTGACCTCGGAAACATAAAGATGGCGTTTCATCACTGCGTTGCATGCAACATCCATCCTTAACGGGTTTGGCGGGTCGAGGCGCACAGGTGTTCTTATTCCGCGCAAAAAGGCAATGAACTTGCAGCACTCATGTCACATGCTGAGCCTGGTGGAGCGCGTTACTGAACACTGATGACTCGAGTTCGCCCAAGGAATAGGGGACGGACTAAGGGTCGCTACTCTGTGCGCGGCAATGACCTCGGATGCGTAAGTGGCGTCTCTGCGGATGATGATGACGATGATTTGGGGTTTTAGGACGCATCGACTGCTGAAGGTCATGCAACGCCCATGCGTCTCTGCGGACAGCAGGCGTGATTCGTGTCCTCAGACACACATCCGGGGCTCTGATGGACCTCTGATGGTGTAGTAGCACGCCATGTTCCGGCCGCAAACTGCCAACGGGTGCACCGCATGCTGGGACGAGTATCCGCAACAGCCATGGACTAAGTCCAGCACCGCATATAGATTATTTACGTCGAAAATACCCAGAGCAAATACTTGTGCCGTCTGGCAAAAGCCATCGCGCGAGGAAGCACAGACCTTGTTTGGTAGATCACGTGGTGTCTAGTCAGCTTCATGATGTGCTCACTTAGAGAAGGTAGGCATTGCTCTGTTGTCTGGACGAATAAACGAATAAACGAATACTCAAAATAATTAATTTGATAATAAAATAATTGTAAATAATTTATGTGGATAGTTTACCCAATTAAAAAAATAATCAATTAAATGAGTACTCATTAAATAATTTTCGCACAAACGGAATGAACCAAAACAAATTAAAAAGTTAAGGTATACACAGTTAAAAAATATAGAAAGTTTAACGTCACAGAACTCACTGTCTGTGAAGTGACGGTAAGGCTGATTTCGCGTGTCGAACACAAATCACGAGCATTAGGAGAAAGCTTATTTATTTTCTGAAGCAAAACGATCACCATTCTCCGTTTCAAGCCTTTAAAACCAAAAAGCCGGCATCGCGAAGGCAAAATAGGTATCGTGACAAGACGGCCAGGTAATTATTTCAAAGTGCGTATTAACAAAAATATAAAACCACCAATAAATGGGGCATCACGAGTCAGCGATGCGTTTTGATCATGCGTATTACTCTTTATTCAGTTGCAGACCATCAAGAACACCCTCGCCCGGTTACCTTCCAAAATGCCCAAGGTCTTGGCCGTCCCTTCCACTTGTCCCAAGATATTGTGCACCTAAATCCAGAGCGCAGAAAACCCCTATGCAGACGTTCTCAACACAAAATGAAACACAGCATGATATTTTTGTCCTAACTTTCAAAAATGTGTGACGGAGTGGACTGCCTATTAAATCATGATCCAAACACTTCTGCCGCGGGTAGAAATGACGCCCAACTGGACTACAATGTGCGGCCAATCTACAGCCACTGAAACAGGAATGCAAACAGCACCAGACAAAATAATATTCCACTCGATATCCTACGTGATTTGACGCATGAAAAACGTGTGTTGCCCAGCAACGGTAGTCATGTTTTTTATATATATATATATATATATATATATATATATATATATAATCACCGCAATGCGTGGTCGCTGTGGCCATGCAAATGTTTTGACGCTAGATGGGGGCGCACTTGTTGAAGCTGTTGGGACAATTTTGCACAAAAAGTCCCTTTCAACGGCACGCAGTTTTCCTTACCACCATTCGGCGCCTGCCGACCCGCTCCCACCTACTTTTTATGGCAGCTTAAGAGCGGGCAAACAATTGCCTGTATGTGGTCAATATATGTTAAAGAAACCTTACAATGACTGCAACAAAAGTGAGAATGAAAAACGCCGCTGTGTTCTGCCCACGTCTCGGTCAATGATCTCCGAAATGGAGCTCAAACACTTGAAAGCAGCTGTCTTTGCATGCACGTATACGAAAGGAGCAGCACAATGCAGACAGGCTAATTAAGGCAGACTCTTGATTAGCACAGCAAGTACACGTATGGTACGGTAAACTCCAGAACTGTTATTAAACTTGTGCTGCTTCGAATGTCACGGCAAAATGGCCCATGGAGCACCGTAGCTAAGGGTCGTTATCAGAAAAGGTACACAAGTTGTTGGACCTTAAGAAGCCAGGTGGACAGTGACACAGCTAATGCAGAAATGACGTACCTGACCCGCTCAGGTTTGCTGTCCAGAAGCCGCTGATACTGAAAACACAGAATCACAGTTAGCATTGTGCGTAATAAGGTGAACTGGCATCCGGAGCATTGACCAATTGACGCAGAGGTAAAGTGAGACATGCCAACTGGAGCTACGCATCACATGCTGCCTGTTTACAGCACCGTGCGGCAGGAGACGTGAATCTAATGAATGAGGCAGCGCCTACATCAACAGACCAGAATGCGAAGATGGGCACGGCTCCAGGAAGACTGAGCGCATGCTTCGTGGACATGTGGCTGCGTCCTACGGAAGGATTCCGCATCTCGTAGTCCTCGAGAGACGCAACGCGAGCCCCCGATCCCGTGATTTACCCGAGACCCAGGCATATGTCCAGACACTGAGACGGGTACATTGCGCAGTCAAAACGCGTGTCGGTGTGGCATGGCGACGACGCCTCAAAGCGTGACCGGACGCTTGGCAGTGAGAGCGTGCTTGGCGAGCGAGACGTGGCGGGGTCATAGCGTACCTGGACCAGCCAATAGTAGCGCACGTCCTGCTCGCCGACTAGCGCGCAAGGAATGGGAGAGAAAGACACAGACAGGTTGTAGTAAGCAGCACCCGGCACAGGCACGCAGGTGGCTATCGGCTCCAACAGTGCGGCATTACGGCACGATTGAGTTTCGCTAAGGCAGTCACACATGCACAGGACGTGATGGCTAACGTACATGTTGTGCCGGTCCCCGCGAAAGCGTTGGCCCAGGCCCTTAGATGTCTTGGCTTCCAGTGTTGCACAAATTGTGTGATCCGTCGGTGGTCCAGGTGTTTTAAGCGCGATGACAATATGCAATCATAAGCAGTGCAACTACGCAAATACGCGATACGCAAGTATTTGGTGTTGGCTTACTGCTAAATATCGCGTTTCGAATGATAAGAGCAGGTCTTAACAGTACAAAATGGTGTGAAGGTATAAGTCAACAACGCTGTGAAATTCCCTTGTTTTAAAAATAAGTATACCAGTCCGACATCAATTAGAGAAGCGTATCATCGGAAATGGAAAGAGTCACCTACAGACCCGAAAACATGAGAAATACGGGACCTAACTGTACCATGCGACCGAAACACTGAAATATACGCATGGCGTACACTGCGTGCCTACAAGTAATCAGTTTGGCGTGCTTTCCATACACAAGCTACGGCAGGAATAAACCGCGTACAATGGCGACCATGGTAGTGGCGGAAAGTATCCTGAGGCTTAAACCTTAAAATACCGAGCGAGAATCAGTTTCGAGATAGTGACAGGATGCATTCTGGAACATGTAGTAGAGGATAAGAGACTATGGCTGACTTGCAAAAAAGACAGGTTGCATGTATATTTCAACCCAGGCAACAATCGGAAACCTCCTGTTATGTTTGTGCGGAAGAGAGAGAGAGAGAGAGAGAGAGAGAGAGGAGAGGCGAGAGAGGAGGAAGAGAGAGAGAGAGAGAGAGAGAGAGAGAGAAGAGAGAGAGAGAGAGAAGAGAGAGAGGAAAGAGAAGAGAGAGAGAGAGAGAGAGAGAGAGAGAGAGAGAGAGAGAGAGAGAGAGAGAAGAGAGATAGAGAGAGAGAGGAGAGAGAGAGAGAGAGAGAGAGAGAGAGAGAGAGAGAGAGAGAGAGGAGAGAGAGAGAGAGAGAGAGAGAGAGAGAGAGAGAGAGAAGAGATAGAGAGAGAGAGAGAGAGCGAGAGAGAGAGAGAGAAGATAGAGAGCGAGAGAGAGAGAGAGAGAGAGAAGAGAGAGAGAGAGGAGAGAGGAGAGAGAGAGAGAGAAGAGAGAGAGAGAGATAGAGAGAGAGAGAGAGAGAGAGAGAGAGAGAGAGAGAGGAGAGAGAGAAGAGAGAGAGAGAGAGAGAGAGAGAGAGAGAGAAGAGAGAGAGAGAGAGAGAGAGAGAGAGAGAGGAAGAGAGAGAGAGAGAGAGAGAAGAGAGGAGAGAAGAAGAGAGAGAGAGAGAGAGAGAGAAGAGAGAGAGAGAGAGAGAGCGAAGGGAGAGATAGAGAGAGATAGAGAGAAGAGAGAGAGAGAGAGAGAGAGAGAGAGAGAGAGAGAGAGAGAGAGAGAGAGAGAGAGAGAGAGAGAGAGAGAGAGAGAGAGAGAGAGAGAGAGAGAGAGAGAGAGAGAAGAGAGATAGAGAGAGAAGAGAGCGAGAGAGAGAAGAGAGAGAGAGAGAGAGAGAGAGAGAGAGAGAGAGAGAGAGAGAGAGAGAGAGAGAGAGAGAGAGAGAGAGAGAGAGAGAGAGAGAGAGAGAGAGAAGAGGAGAGAGAGAGGAGAGAGAGAGAGAGAGAGAGAGAGAGAGAGAGAGAAGCAGAGAGAGAGAGAGAGTGTGTGTGTGTGTGCGTGTGTGTTGTTGTGCGTGTGCGTGTGCGTGTGCGTGGTGCGTGTGCGTGTGCGTGTGCGTGTGCGTGTGCGTGCGCGTGTGTGCGTGGTGCGTGCGTGTGTGCGTGTGCGTGCGTGTGTGCGTGTGCGTGCGTGTGCGTCGTGTGTGCGTGTGCGTGCGGTGCGTGCGTGTGCGTGCGTGTGCGTGCGTGGGTGGCGTGTGCGTTGCGGTGGTGCGTGTTGTGCGTGTGTGTGTGTGTGTGTGTGTGTGTTGAAACGCGTTTAAGATCTGGTCTGAAATCTGTAGGCTTGCAAGAATCCTCTTTCTTAGCTCCGAAATTTCAATTCCCGTTTTGCACCAGTTGCAGAGAAAACGTCAATGGGGTGAGACGGCGAACATAGAACACTGGTAGAACACAATTATAGCCAACCGAAATAAAAAACTTGCTTATCTGAACTTGTGAAGTAGATGCTAGCCAAATTGTTATCTAATTAGCAACATCACTTGGAAAGCACCCTGCACAGAATTCGCCCTTCTGAAACGGCCAGCAAGAAATGCTCATATCTAATCTTCTCTGAATCGATGTTTGCAGGCGCAATGAGCCCGGTCTTTCAGACTTATTCATTTCTTCTGAATATAAAACGTGTGTTTTTAGCCAAAGATACAAGCAAAAACAGCTAACTTCTCCTCCTGTATGCGCGCTACTTCAGCGGAAAGCACTTCAAATAAAACAATGATGACTTCAATTTTCCAGCCTTCTTTTCACCTTTCCAAAACAAATTGGACCCAGTGTATTTTCCTTTCCCTTGGACAGCGTTCATTACTGGTCGCTGGCTGAGGATGACACCCATGAAAAACCCCGGAGCACAAGTCGTTCGGAGCTGACGAGTGCAGCGCTGCCCACGTGACCGGGCATTCAAGCACCAACACACCAGCACCAGCACCGGGAGCTGGAGCTGGTCCGCAGCTGCACCGCCGGCCAGTTCCACCGCAGTCACCGGCGCCGCCCGGGCGCGGGTGCCGCTAAGGACGCTGTGGTCTGGCGGCGCGGGCGGCGGACCGGCCACCCGAGGTCGACTACGTGCCAACCGATTCTACGAGACTCCTCATACGTTGAGTCAGCGATTTGTATCACGGCAAGGCAACTGCGCTGTGACTGGCTGCCGTTCTAGTCCGAATAGAGGTAATGTGTTACGTGCTATACAACATTTGAATGGGTCATAACCAACCAGTAGTGCTCCGAGTTCAGTTACTGAACCCAGGAGCACTTTTGACACAATGCATGTCTGTGATGAGTTGGCAGAACCTGGAGTGTTTGTACTTCACCCAGCCAGTGCTGTTCGGAGCAGCGTGTTGGTAAGCGATCTGAGAGCTAGTGTCCGCACCTGAACCAGCCAGTGGCATTCCGCCAAGGTAAGCCACCTGAGCGCGAGTGTCTGCATCTGAATCAGCCCGTGGCATTTCACTAAGGTAAGCGATCTGGGAGCAGGTGTCCGCACCTGAACTAGTCAGTGGCATTCCGCTGGAGTAGGCCATCTGGGAGCGAGTGTCTGCACCTGAACTAGTCAGTGGCATTCCGCTGAGGAGCTGTGTCAATCAAACAGCCCGTGGCGAGAGTTTGTGCATGAAACAGCCAGTCGTACTGCTGGAGACGCACATGTCGGCAATGCGCTAGTGGTGAGTGTTTATATCGGAACCGGCTGAGCAGCCGAGGACGGCATGCTCATCAGTGAGCTGGTGAAGTGTCTGTACCGCGATCGGCTGGTAGTGCTGCCACGATCGGCTGGTAGTGCTGCTGCACGATCGGCTGGTAGTGCTGCCGCGATCGGCTGGCAGTGCTGCTAATGGGTGTATCACTTAGTAAGCTGGTGGCGGCGGAGTGTTCACATCTGGTCTAGTCAGCAGCGTGGCTGGCACGTGCGTCGGTGAGACATCTGGCGTCAGCTCTCACTTGGACGAGCCAGTAGTGCTGCACCTCGCCGCGCCGCTGCTCGTCCATCTCGGCCAGCCGCCGCTGCAGCGCTCGCGCTCGCGGGTGGCCCGCGCTCCATCAACTGCACCAGCAGCTGCGCCAGTGGCGCCGCTTCTCCGTGAGCCGCTCCTGGGGCGGTGGACGGCGGTCAGCGGTCGGCCGCAGAGACGGACACACCAGCAGTGACCGGCCGCGGAGACGGAGACACGAGCAGTGACCGCCACCCCGACACGCCACTGAGATGGGGGTCAGCGGCCGGCCGCGGAGACGGAGACACCAGCAGTGACCGGCCGCGGAGACGGAGACACCAGCAGTGACCGCCACCCCGACACGCCACTGAGACGGCGGTCAGCGGCCGGCCGCAGAGGCGGAGACACCAGCAGTGACCGCCACCCCGACACGCCACTGAGACGGCGGTCAGTGACCGGCCGCGGAGACGGAGACACCAGCAGTGACCGCCACCCCGACACGCCACTGAGACGGCGGTCAGCGGGCCGGCTGCATAGGCAGAGTCACGAGCAGTGACCGCCACCCCGACACGCACTGAGACGGCGGTCAGCGGGCCGGCCGCATAGGCGGAGTCACGAGCAGTGACCGTCGCCCGACACGCCACTGAGGCGGTCCGCCAGCTAGCAGAGCCCGGCCCGCCAGCAGCGCCAGCTGTCTCGCTGACGGCGGCATGGCACACCCGCCGTCGCTGACGCCTCGCAAAGGCAGCCTTGGCCGTGTCTGTCGCGGCAAGCGGTGCCTATTCACCCCGGACATGACCCCACGACTTCCGCCTGCCCGGCCGGCCGTGGGCAGCTCCGGCCCCGCACTCACCAGCTCGGAGTCTTTGCTGACGTCGCGTTGGTTGGCCTCCACCAGCGTGAGCCGGAGTGCGTCCTCCGCCTCAGAGATCTGGTGCAGGATCTGCAGACGGCTGGCGTCCTGCGAAAGCGCCAGAACACGCTATACATCGGACTGAGGGCTCATCGGCCCACTGAGGGCCCAACACATCGCGGATTGAACATAACATTAGCCGGGAGTGGCCCATCCGGAAGAAATGCGAACGCGTGTTATCACAGGCACACGGTGTGCTTCAGTGAGCTGCTGCCGTCGTAGACATGCGCCCACGACCGCACGTTTCACTTGCTTGCACATCGGATTGCGTGAAGGCGTGAAATTGTGTGAAAATTCTTACAGGCACTGTTACATGGTGGAAGGCGGAACCCCGGGGCACTGACCTGCTGAAGATAGAGGTTGAAGAAGGCCTGCCGCTGGAACGCCTCATCCTTCAGCAGCTGCTGGATCCGTGCCTCCTGCTCAGAGCCCTTCACCTCCAGCAGCCGCCTCAGCTGCGCGTCAGTTTGCTGGTCCCTGGAAACGGGGCTGGAGTCAGACCTGAGGGAAGTCGACCCGACCGGCGAGGCAGCAAACATCGCTGAAGCGCCGGTACGTGCTGGACACACGACTGCTAGCGTCAGACTTCGAGCCGCCTCGATGCCTGGTGACGAAGCTCCGGCCGCGCTACACTCACGTAGGTTCGATTCAGATGCGCCCAAAACTAAAAAAGCGCTCACGCAGAACGCATCATCCTGTCGTTCATGAAACATTGCTGAAGCGTGGAGCGTTCGGAGACGCTTGGTGTCAGTCTAAAACAAGCGTTCGCTCCCTTTCCAACAGCCTCCATCGCCCCATCCGCGCCAGCCTTCAGCCGGTACTCAGTCGGCCCGGCCTACGTCCCATTCCAGTCACGCCGGCGGGAGCTGAGCGGCGCGCCCACAGACCGCCGGACCGAGCCGGGCCCGGCGGACAGAGAGCTGGAGAACTCACTGCGAGAGGGCCTGCTGCAGGGCGCGGTCGCGTCCCTCCTGGTACTCCTGCAGCTGGTTCTGCATAGCCAGAGACTCGCGCATCAGCTGCTGCATTGACTCCATCACCTGCGCCGGTCGACAGCAGTCAGTCGACCGACACCGTCCGCTCGCAAGACGCACGGACATTGCAAGGGCAGTGTGCGTGAAGACGGCTACCGCATGCGCGACAAGGTGATCAAAGGTGTTCGGCATATGATCAAGAGATATCGGGCCAAATAACGATGCCCCCATAACTCAGCGCTCTCCCAATCCATCCATCGATGTAAGGATGCTGACTTCAGGTAGGCAACGCAACTGGAGCTCTCTGTTCGGTCTCCATAACAGGCTGCCCCTCCTCTCCCAAGAGATCAAACAACCGGCATAGACGACCGGGCTAACCGGGTTTCCAGGAGTCTGACATATTGGAAGAGCAGGTCACTGCAGGTCACTGCACCACCATCCAATGTCATGCCGAGTGGTAAACAATAACCGGAGACGCCGCTCCGAGTTGCAGTATGAGTCCCTTTAACGGCATGAATTAAAATCTATGCATCGCCACTCAGCTGGCTGAACTTGGGAATCTCGCGAAAGCTTGATTTACAATATACGGATGCTGACGGACGAGGGGAATTACCAACGGCGAGTACAATAGCGGTGTTCCGTGTTCCGTTGTTCCGCCTGAGGTGTTCCGCCTGAGCCCCCTCTGGAGGAGTTCCGACGAGCAGCGTGCACTGTGCCCACGGCAGCGCCTCACCTCGTGTTCGCGCAGCGCGTCGCACTCCTCCTGACGCACGATCACCAGCTGCTCGAGCTCGCGCCGATCGAGCGCCAGCCGCGCCAGCACGGCGCTGGGGTCGCGCAGCCGGGCGGCGGCGGCCGCCACCTGCGCTGCGCTGCGGTCAGCCTCCTGCTCCAGCTGCGCCACCGTGCCCAGCAGGCGGCGGTGGTCGCGCTCACGCTGTTCGGCGACGCGCGCCACGTTCGGCCGTCCAGTCGCGCCTGCTCCTCAACCAGCTCGTCCAGCAGCTGCCGGGGCGACGGCCGGGACGGTCAGACGGCGTCGAGATCACATGCCAGATGGTAGAGTGGGACGACGGGACACGGCCGACACAGCGTGGCAAGCTTCAGGGGACATAACGGTGCACGGTTAACATAAGGGGAGTGATGACAGATCGATGTGTGGAAGGTCGCAACGGTTATAAGTACAAGTTGGTGCCTAAATAGCGACCATTCAAGCCGGAATGAGCCGGCTTATTTCTATCCCTTTTTCCAGGTTGCTCCTGGACGCTATTTCACTTAAACTTGTGCTCAAATTCACGTGGAGTAAACCCTTACAGCATAAGGTTTGTACACCACGCAACGCGCCGTTCATAGCTGAGAACGGACAAAAACGGGCACGAGTACTTGGCGCGGGTAATTCTGCGGGGTGTGGGTCGGCGGGGCTTCACGACGCAATACTCATACCGAGCCAAAACGGGCAAGAATGGAAGTTGAGGAGTGGTGGAAATCAGAGTGCGGGCGGGGTCCACGGGAGCACTATCGGTCACCGCGGTGGGCGTGAGTCCCGGCAGCAGCCCCCCTCCAGGCTGTATCCACCAGGAGGCTGCAGCATGCACCCCAGCAGGCCATGCGGATTACATGCGCGCTCAGAGTGCTCCGATATCCACGCATCCAGACCACACACAGACATCGGCCTTCCAGCTGATGGCAGTGGTGTGAGCCGCCAATCCCGGCGCGGTCACGGGCAGCCGCTCCGAGAGGCGGCCTCCTGGCGCGGCCCACCTCCGCTCCGAGAGGCGGCATCCTGGCGCGGCCCACCTCCGCTCCGAGAGGCGGCCTCCACCGCCGGCCCGAAGACTCCACTCCCGGCATGCGTCTCGCCCTGTAGACACACCGCTGCAGCCGCCGACGCTGGCTGGCTGCCCGCTCACCTGTTTCTTAAACTCCTCCTGCTTGCTGAGCTCGCGGCCCTCCTGCGACTTGGACATGGACAGCTGCTGCTCGATCTGGAGCATCTCCAGACGCCGGCTCTCCTGAAGCCAAGCGGCGCGTGCGGCAGAGCAGGCGGTCGCCGGCGCTTAAGAGCAGACACTTGAGGGCGCCCCGCCGCGGCCGTCTCCGGCATTTCTCGCGGCGCGTGCACACGACCGCAGCTACGCTTTTTAGAAGAGTTTGAGGCATGGCGCGTGCATAAATAGAGCTGAGACCTGTTAGCAGCAGCAGCACTTTCGTTGTAAGGCCAGATGACTGATCTAGGACAATGAACGGCGGCACAACCCTTACATACCAGGTCAAAATCCGCACGGACTTTCAACTCACTACTCACCTTCAGTTGATCATACCGATGGATCTCGTCCTGCAAAAGACGAGGGCGCATGCAATCAACTGTACAATGACATCCTTATGTGCAGGCATGCGATGCGTACCCAACTACAAGCCCGCATGGTGGATTGGTGGGTCGGATAAGCAGGCCTTTAAAGTTAACAAAAGGTATACCGCAATCAGACCCATGTTGTGACAGCCGCGTCACCTGCGTCCCATGTGGTCAGCAGCAACAAAGCGTGCATAACCCATAATGCAGAAAACAACGCATGAAGACCGTCGCAATCTAACACGCATTGCACATTGTCTACGCCAGACAGTGGTTTGGTGTTTTAGGACGCGTCGACTGTGAATAGTCATGCAGCTGCACCAGACAGTGAATGTTACAACACAGCCTAGGTGAATACATCAGCACTGGTCGGAGTCACACAACAACGATGAACTCCGCTGACTGTCGTCAAAAACATGAAGTCTGCGGCATCTGTACGCTCATACCATTCACACAACCTTGCCAACTCGCTCGTCCACCTACCCTCCCCCCTCCCCCCTATCCCACCACACACGCACAAGCCAACACGCATCCACACCCCCACCCACACGCGCGCGCGGCGCACCGCAGCGTTGCGCTGGCGCCGCTAACGCTGCCACCCCGCCCTAGGGGCCGGAGACCGGCGCCGTCGCCGGGCCGCGCCCACCTTCACGGCGTCCAGGCTGTCTGGGACGGAGCGCGATACGGTGGGCGCCACGCTGTCCTCCTCGTCCTCGGCGGCGGGTCCCGTATGCCGCACACGGGCCTCTGGCGGCGGGGCGAGCGGGGCGAGCGGTCAGCGCGACGCCCGCCAGCGGCCAGCCAGGCCTTACCCTGGGCCGCGCCCACCGACCGAGCCAACCAACAGGCGCCGAAGACTGCGCAACGCTCGTCAACCCGTCAAATTCACGTACACCAACACGACGCGCGCTCCAACGTTGGCAAATGAGGGGGTGTATTGTAAACTAAGCAAGCATCATCAATCAAAGAAACAGTGTTAGAAAGGCCTTCTAGGGCTGTAACGTGCCTGCCATTGAGCTTTAAGCATGACCTTAGTATGAAAATCCGGCGACATATTTAAATTGAGCGAGGTTAGCCTTTGGTGACCAACTTTACAAAGGCCAAAAGCATGATAGAAACACACTTCAGTGTTACAAACAATTGGAACATAGGAAACCTCTTTGGAGTGCATTTAATGTGAGAAGTAAGCATTTCTTGTTGCTTATGAGCACGCTGTCAGCGACATGGCTTGACATGGCTTGAAAGGGGTCAGACCATGAAGGCCCAAAAGGTCAGGGCCCGAAACCTGAAACCTTCATGCCGTATGCAAACACGATGCTAAGTAATGCAATGAAATCAACTCAGGTGCCCACAGATCAAGTATCCAAATTTCTAGCCAGGGCAGGTCCTGTTCTGCCAGATCGGCCTCTGTTCTGCCAGACCGGCCCCTGTCCTGCCAGACCCGGCCCCCATTCTGCCAGAGCAGGCCCGTTCTGCCAGAGCAGGCCCTGTTCTGACCGAGCGAGCCTCTCTAGCCCAGAGCAGAGCCCCTCCACCCAGAGCAGATCTCTTCCATGCAGAGTGGGGCCTCTGGACCATCCCAGCCAGAGACCCATCCACCCTGATGGATTCCAGCTTCGGAAGAGAGCTGGCGGGTCTCACCGCGGCAGAGGTACGTGATCACGGCGTCCGAGCCTGCGCTCACCACCTCTGGCGGCGGGCACAACAGCGCCTTATTGTCCTCCAAGCGGACCTCTTCCATCCGACTGCGGAAGGGGGGACGAGGTCACGGACAGTCAGAGCTGACAGGATCACAAAGGACCGGCGCCCGGCAGCGCGCAGCACTGCGCTGGCAAACCACCCCAGCCGGCCAGCTGACGTGACCGTCACGTGAAAGGCGTGAAAAATGAAGCCATCCCGCGGCCCTGGCAGGAGCCGCACCTGATATTGGCGAGGGGTGCCAGCTCGTGGAGCTGGTTGTTGCGCAGATCAAGCGTGGCCAGCCGCGGCAGTCGGCCCACCGCCGCCGGCAAGCTGCGCAGGCCGTTGCCGCGGCAGAGAAGCCGCCGTAGCCGGTGCAGCTCGCCGATCGACGCCGGCAGTTCCTTCAGTGCATTGTTGGATAGGTCGAGCACCTGTCGATGGTGTGCATGTGGCATGAGATGAACATCAGCAGCAGCTGGGGCCGGAAGCTGTGTTTTGTTGATTGTGTGTTTATGTGCACCAGCAGTTCTGACAATCCAGTTAGAGTGCACATATACATCACAGCTGAGAAAAGACCACACCTACTTCACATCAATCAGGCTGGAGTGTGGGTATTTGTGCGGTATGGTTACAATGATGCAGATTAGTCTTTTGACATACCTGGAGGCTGGCAAGGGATGAAATGCTGTGGGGCAGGTGGATCAGGCAGTTGAACTCCAAGTGGAGCACCTGCAGCAAGTGCAGATCGGAGAGCTGACCACCTGACTCTAGCGATGTTAGCAGGTTATCCTGAGAAAGTGAGACAAGAACATGTGGGCACAGTTAGATATTTGTCTTATTTGCAGAAAATATACCCACTGAAACCCATCCCTCATGTGTTCTTGTAAGGCCTAAATTATGGAGGCTACCTTTATAGACATGACAGCAAAGTTGTGTGCAAGCAGACAAGCAGATAATCAGTACCTGTAGCTGTGTCAAGGATGGTAAATGTATTTATTCAACTCCATAATGACCAGAAGTTACTGGGAGCATAAAGGCATGTACTCATTTAGATCACAGAACAATTTCTTCTTTCTGCTGTTTGAAAAAACATAAATAAATCATATAGATAATAGTATTACACATTTCATACCAAACACCTGGAACTTGCCTGCAAAAGAAGCTGCAGCTTGCGGAGCACTTTGCACTTGGCGTATGTTCCTGGAGGTATGGTGCGCAACAAGCAGTTTGAAAGGTCATAGACAGGCTCTGGTGTTTCCTCTGCCTGAAACCAAAACATCAATAGTGCATGATATGATTCGCATGGTGTGTAACTTTCATCCACAACCACATATACACAAATTTTGGTTGTGTTCTATACATGGCTGAAAGCTATACCCAATCCAATGTTCCTCATGAGTTTCTCCTTCACACCATGCATTCCATCTATACACATCTGTTGACAGCCAGAAAATGCATTGGCAGTGTAGATGCTACCATACAAGGACAAGGGATACAGCCAAACCAACTATTCCATATGGGATGAAGACTAGTCAGATCTGTCAAATCTGCAAGATCATGCCAGATCATTAAGATATGTTAGATCTATCCCAAGTTGGATCTGTTTGATGGCAGTTGTTGCTCTGTGGCTGTTGACTCCATAAACAAGAAGCTCAAATCTTAGCAGCATGGTTCCCGAATCTTATCATGAACCATCACAAATGAATGGCAGTGAATGAGCCCAGGACTTACTGCTTGACTTTTTAGTCTTCCAATGAAAAAACATGATATTGATCTGCCAGTGGAGACCATGCTGCAATTTTGTTTGAAGCATTTGACAATATCTTATAATCTGAAGAAGAGACTCACAAGACAAATTTTTCTCTGCAGCCATTGAGCGTGCTTCAGCATCTGACATAGAAGATCTTCGCCTCTTCTTAGAATGAACATTGACTTCCCATTGTTGAAACTTGTAGGTGGTGGGATTATTTGCCTTGCAGCTGTGGGAGGTGCACAGCAACACTGATTCACATGCAAAATCTGCATGTCCAAAGATACAAAGACCTAATGACAGATGGTGTTGATGTAAATCTGACTTACTTGGCAAATCTGGCTGAGTGTAGAAGACGAGTGAACATACAAGATAATCAAGGTAATGATCTTTCCCCTGGTGTCCATTACTTACTTTCACGTTAACAATGTGTGCCCAAGCTCTGGCCAAAAAATACTATGTAGGCAAATAGGATTGCAGGTACGAGTTATAAAATGTTAACAGTCCGAGCAATGCGCGCGTATCATTCTGGTATTTGAGTATACATAATTAATTCCACAGAACTCACCCACGCTAGCGATCTACCGACAACCACTAATTGCATGACTTCTGTACTCACATCTAGAAACAAGGGCTGTTACCGTGAAACGTCTACCGATAAAAACGCACTTGTAACACTATCATCTCACTTTTCAATCTAAATCAGGCATCAGTCAAGGCAGTAGCATCATTATGTAAATTTTCCGCCGGTTTCGTCTCATGCGCCATAAGTGGCAAATCTATTTTCCGATATTGGTCTCGGGCCTGCGCCGGCCGCAAGTTGCAACTTCTGACGTCAAAGGTACGTACGGTGCGTTAGTTCATTTCCCTTGAAGTGCAGTCGCATGGAGGATCATCTAAACGTCCAATTTCGCCGCGCTCAGTGTTCGGAATATCCCAAATCACACCATCCAGCATTCATAACGTCCACAACGCTCGCACACTGCTGACTGACGTTTGTGTCGGATAGCTTCGAGGCCCTCGAAGCCTAAAAGTCCATGCCCAGCCCGGCTTATGCTGTCCGGGCGGGGTGTCTGATTATTAACAAGCCGATTTCGCCCTTTTAACTGCTCAGCATTACCCTTTGAACTAATTCGATTTACCCCTTAAACTAAGCCGGTTTCACCCCATGAACTAGCAGGGGCGGATCTAGTCTGAAGTTTTGGGGGAGGGGGGGGGGGGGGGCAACCGTTCGTCGCCAACTGACTGGTGTGGGATCCGAGATCCAGTGTGTGGTGCCCCTCGCGAGTACGTAGTAGGGACACCATTCAAAACTGGAAAAACACCGAAATGTTTTTGAATCTTAAACAGAAGTTAAAACAAACAGTTAAAACAGTTAAAAGTTAAAACAGACGGTAAGTAGAAGAAACTTTTATGAAGTTCTGGGAATGTTTTGGGGGAAAACATACTCTCAGCGGTTTTGGGGGGCCATGACCCCGTGCCCCCCCCCCCCCAGGATCCGCCTATGTGAACTAGCCGGAGTCATCCCCGAAGCGAGCGTTGGCCCTTACCGTATTTGTCCATGTGTGCGTTTTGGCTACCCTGGAGAGTGCAGATGGTTGGGTATATATGGTCGAGTCATGTGCAAAATGCCTTTATTTTAATTGGCCCAGTTATACTATGCTGATTTTAGTGTGCCGGGCTGGCCATTGATATAACATGATATGTGATGAGATATGTGACAATTTAACTGAGCGGTCCCTGTGCATTTGTTTTACCAGGCAGCCTCTCTGTGTATTTTTTTTAGGTTGTCTGTTGCTGTGGTTGCCTACATTGCTGGGCGGCGTGCCTGTGTTGATTTTACTGCGCAGTGTCGACGTCCGCTATTTCACTAAATAATGTTCGTGTGTTATTAATGGTCTCAGCGCGTTTGATTAAACCGACGATCTCAGTGTACTCATTTTAGCTAGCTCTACGTCATTTCTAAAAAAAAAACCGTTGCATTACTTACGCCTGGATGTCCTCTGAACCAAGGCTATCTAATGGCTCTGAACTATGCGCGCTGGCATTGTAGTTCACCAAAGGCCTTTAAATGTGGGCTCGGCGTGCGTATTCGATTCGGCGGCTTGTGTCGATAACACGATAACTCGCACCATCCAGCGTGTACTTAACTGCGGAAGCCCTCGGCTTAATCCAGTGAGTTGACGCGTACATCGGGTAAAATAATCGTTGTTCATGTGCACATCATCCAGCTAAACGGTGAGCTCACTGCTGAAAGGACTTCGCATGGAATGGCGCCCACAAAAGTCAGGTTGAATAACACAAGTTTTTCAAATCGCTGTTAATGGCGACTTATGCTGGTTAATGCTGTCCCAATGCGGATAGATCAGTAGTTTGGGTATGTGCCGGTACGTGAGAATAGATTGGTGGGTCCGGAGGATGTGTATCTTGTGAATAGGTTGTGCGTATCGTGACGTGTATGTTTATCGGGTGGTTCAGGTAGTGTGTTAGCTTGCGCTTCTCGTGACGCGTGTTTATTGATACGTTAAACGGTAGGCAAAAATCGACCATGGTTTTGACAGTGTAAATTTTGATTTTCTCCAGCAATTCGGCCTGTTCTGAAGTCATTTTTAGCCGCCAGTATTATGTTACCCATACCAATCACGTGTTTTGCATTTCTCTATCGCTCGTCGTTTTGGATTGCTTCACCGCTGTTTGGACTAGTGACCCATTTCCCCTGTATGAATTGCTGTGGATTGTTGGCCATTTATCACGCATAGTAATTGTTATGGATCGACCTTGCGTTGTCTGATACTATTGCTAGCAATACATTTATGCTGAAAACACCTTCCTTTCATTCGCGAGCCGATTTTGCGATTGATTCGGAAACTCGGTCGTCAATCATCCTGACGGACGTGCCCCTGGCAGTGCTATCCTGACAACCAATGCTAAAACAGAGTCACACACAAGCATTTTTCATACTTAATGCTCTCATGAACATTCTTGACCTTTCCGATGCGTAAAAAACAAAAATGGACCTGAAATTTTTGGATGATATTATCACCTTATTCACCTATATACCACCAATCACCTTAAATTTGACCTTTAAGCGTGACCTCGGAAGATCAGGATTTTTTGCCGGACGCTGGTTTGTGTGCTGAAGATGAATCTGACGCTTAAAATTCCCAAATAGATCCATAACTTTTGGGCGATATGTAGTCCTCGTCATTTCATCTTAAACCTGAACTTGAAGGTCACATGGTATTGAAAAACAAGTGTCGGGTTTGATGTTCGCGTGACAATTGATTCTCACGTGCTCTCATAGAAATCAAAACTGATCGCCAAATAAAGCGCTAAGTAAATCGCTAACTTCCCAACGTCTGAGCTATAAGGTAGGTAACAGCGAGAAGGCCCATGTTTCGTTGTGGCGTGCCGCCGAGGGAATGCATACCAAAACAAGAAGATAGGTAATTTCCGACAGCAATTTGGCAGACGCCATGATGGACTGAAGCCGTTCGAAGTTGGGGATGAACGGCTGAAGCAGCAGCCAACAGTTACGGGTCAACATTGCTTGGCTGATGGGATGTGCACACTTGTGTAAATCCGTTGAAGACAAGCTCTGTCACATACTTCAGAAGGCGACATAGAACACAATTAACGACGCCTTC